GAGAGAGAGAGAGAGAAAGAGAGTCAACTATTGAATGTTGTAGAACAAAACATCACTCATGTCAAAAGCGACTCGTTTCGGTGTGTATATTTACTTTTGTGCTAGTAAATTTATTTACATTTGATTTTAGATACGATTGTCATGTACTACATATAAATAAAAGAAACAAAATAATGAATGTCATTAAGGTAGAGTTAAAGCAAAATTGTAAGTAAAATGAATAGGTTAGATTATTTAAAACTGATTTTCTGAAACACAAATGCGTCCGAGAATTGCATGTCTTTTATATTAAGTTAATACTAATAGAAAGTGTAAAGTGCGAAGTTTCGCGCACGGACACGGGAGAACTGCATTACTTTGCGTTATGCCAAGCCCTTATGAAAGTTGAAGAGCGCAATTTCGAAAAGTGTATCTCCTTAAATCAAGTCGGCCCAAAGTGATACAGCACCGGGGGTTTTAACCGGGCGATAATTAATGTAAGAAGCCGAGCGCCATCACAAATCGTCCGTCCCGACTGAGTTTGCGGCCGGCCGTCAAACTTGTTACATAAATACGAAACTTTTTCCACCGTCGCGCAACGCGTGCAGTCGAGGCGGGAGTGCAAGAATCTTACTCTTTTATGTTAACGCGAACGACAACGGCGAGGGTGCATGGGAGGCGGGGAAGGGGGGGCGGGGGCGGGGAGGGAGGGGGGGACGGCATAATTAACCTGTGGCTTAACTTCGTCACGTAATTTATAGCTGTCGTCTCGCCGGGGGTCACCCGGTAGTCGAGTCCAAGTTAATTGTGCGCACGTCGAGGCACGCGGATACCTGCGTGGATACACACAGGTACTCCGGGGACATCCGCTTTAGCCTCGCGAGGTGGCCTTTTGTTGTTGCCGCCGTGGTCCTACAGCAAAATAGCGAAAACCAACTATCAAGGAAGACCGGCGGTGCTTGTACAAAAGTTTCGGACAAATAAATCTCCGAACGCGAGGCGCGCGCACAATGGGAAAGCGGCGCTGAAAGGGCGTTTAAGCGTGAATTATTGTTTACCGCGGGACGCTTTAAGACAAAAAGGACGCTTAAAGTGGATCAGCTGTTTTCTATCGCGCTATTATCTACCTCCGCCACGTTGCCGCGCAATTTCGTGGACGCCCCGAGCGACTCTTCTGGACACAATCGTGCCGCAGACAGACGAATTCCGCACCGCACCGACGAAATAACACCCCCGCGTCACGCGCTCGCCGCTGACTGAAAAGACGTGCCAAATGCTCTCTAACGTTCTGAGAAATTAATCGCCGCCATTGTATTCCTAACGCGTGCATCGCACGCTTTTCAACCAGAAAGAATGCGTTCATTGTAAAAGTCACCATCTTAGAAAATAAATTTTTTTCTGATTTTTTTTTTAGAATAAATACAAGAAAGATTGTATTATTGATGTATTGTTTATCTTTATTTTAATTTTGCAAAATATAAAAACATATAACTATTAAAATAAAATAAAACTATTAAAATAATGTAGAGAGTTATCACGATTCATGTGAGTTATTGAATACGCAAAAATAAATTAGCTCTTATATTTTAATTAATATCAAGCATAATTATTAAATAATTAGAATTGAGTTTCTATAGAAATTCTATCGAAAAATAAAATTTTATTTTTTCATTAAGGAGAGTCCGGCCTAGATAAATGAAAGGTGATTTGCTAGATCTAGAAGGTAATTATATTTTTTGTTAACATATGTCTAAAGCAAATGCATTAATGTGAAATACATATTAATGTGGAAAGCACGAAGGAGGGCAAATTAACATCCCGAAAGCTCTTATCATGGCTGACAGTTGAAGAAGGCTTACACGAAAAGCCGGTAATCCTTTATGCCTCGTTTGAGGGATAGATGTACGTTAATAGCATATATATATAATGCACTTATCTGAATAATACATTGGACTTAAGGACCAGTACATAAAGAACTATATTATAGATAAGGGATGTGGATAATCTTGCGCGACGTGCAAGAATTGATGTTCTTTAGAATTACCATCTTCGTTTAACCACAACTACCAGAGATTAAACTGAAGAAGAAACTGTTTATTTTTAAAAGTGTAAAATTACGAGACATTCCGCAAAATCAATTATTTTAATTAAAGTATAACCGTGTACTGTTTGCTGTCTTTGCGCTATGCATTAAGCGAAACTATTGTTGAAAATAACGCTATTTTCAAATATATTAAAAGAAACGGTATTGCGCGAGGAAGAGAGATTGTTGATATATCCCCGGAGAAATGTCGTGCTTTTTGTAGGGGGAAAAAAAAAAAAAAAAAATTTAGTACCGGAGGAAAAGGGAAGATTGTCTAACTAGATATCAGAAAAATTAACGTCATCTTTGTGATCACGGGGACGTGTACGGAGCGATGATTAAGTCAGGCTAACACTCTTGGCCTGCCGTCATCATCATTACGACTCAAATCTAGTCATCAAATGGAAACGTTTGCGCATTATTCCGAGTTACAGTGGAAATCCCTTTGTGCGGCTTGCCGCGCGGTAGCGCACTCGCGGAGATATGTTTTGCCTGCTAATGATTTTTACGTTTCGACGTTTATTAGCCGTACGCGTCTCGCGTATTTTACTTAAATCGTGATAGGCGGCGCGTTACGAATTGCATTGTGGTACGGTTACTTGTTGCGAGATAAGATAATGTCTCTCTCTCTCTCTCTCTCTGTGAACCGCGCGGCGTTGAGGTGAGATAGGAATTGTCGACAAGTTTCTCTTTATGCACGAGCGCACTTTAAAAGAAATTTTATTGCTGCCAGAGAGGCGCCCTGCTCATCGTGTTTGAAGCTTGTAAAGTTCGCTTTCTGCGAAACTTGTATCGAACTACGAGAATTGAGCGCACGTTATATACGCAAATATCGCCGATAGCGATACAGTATATGTGTAACATATCGGCGTCTAAGTAACATTATATCGAAAGCGCTTGTGTAATATGTAGAGGAAAAGCAATATGTACGCTTAATCATCTGATCTGGAAACGTTATCATGCATATTCGAATTTACATTCTCTTACAAGGGACAAGTAGTCATTAAAAAATTATTTTAATTGAATTATTATTACGACGCTATACATGTAAAATAGCATATTATATTATACAGTGTGTATTATTATTATTGTTTACTTTTTCGAATCTTTTTTTCTTAAAAATTACAATACATATAATTTTTGAAGAAAAAGAATAATGAAAAAATAAATAATCGCAATGTGAAAGTTCCCGATGAAATTATTGAAACGCAATATTTGATATTCCAATGGAGAAGAGCAAAAAGTAAATGTAATTACAGTCTTTGCTGACTCAGAAATTTCGGAATGCGATCTCGAAACAGTCGAATGCGCGATCGTAATTAAATACACGCTTTCGAAACGTGTACAGAATTTGCTTGCGAAGGAAGAAGCTCTCCTCCATGGTTGACATGGTACACCGTCGTGAAGTAATTGGAATTTGTAATACCATTTTCGAATGGGAACATCAACGGTGGACATCATCCGCTAACCGAGCTTGTCCCGCTTGTAGAAACTTCGACAGACTAATCGATCGGACGATAAATCACGTTTGATTTAACGTAGGGCCACGATAAAGTAGAATGGAAACCGGCGTACGGATTCGTAATCGTACAAAGGCCGGGGTTAAGGAAAGGTAGAATAGGAGAGGAGGGGAAGGGGGAATGGGGGAGGCCCGTAAGCGGAAAACTCGTAATTTATCCTGTTTCCAGTCTTGATGCCGGGCATTTCCGCGACGCGCTGGCGATTTCCAAGAGCTTCGCGGAAACGTGGCGACGCGAATGTCATTTCCCGACGTAAATTAAGTTTGAAATCCTGCTTATTTCAGCGTGGAGATCGATGAAAACTGCTACTGGGTAGAGCTACAGTTTGAAAGAGGAAACCAGCCGTGATTCACATTCGATACAATCACTGTTAACTCACTCCGTTTAAAGTCGGCACGTATATGCACAATTCGCGAGGACGTCGAAATTCTGTTACTCTGTGAAATGCTTAAATTAAATACAGAATGCAATATAATCAAATTAAAGTGCATTTAATGTGATGTGATATACTGTTATCCTTGAAGGACAAATTTTACGTCTGAAGGCTTGTCCGAATCAAAAGATTTATCAGCATCAATAACATTTTTATTCATAATTTGACTATAATCATTGATATCTATGCAATCAAATGTATTTTATAATAATTTAATTACATGTGGATAAATTATAAAAAATTTATTAGAATTTTCACTAATAATTACTTTTACAACATTATGGAATATTTAAAAAAAAGCAAAAATTTATATAATTAATTTTTTTTTTGCATATTTTTTTATTCCATTTATATATAAAATTATTAACAAATTTTACTTGACGGAAGGAGATATTGTTTTTTCATCCATGATTTTTGAGGCATTAACTGTTTAATTAAGTACACAAAATAATCAAGCAATGAAATTACGATCCATTTGCACGAATGCATCCTTTAAGGATAAGTAACTTGTGTTGCAGGTATAGAGACGAAATTCGCTGGTTCAAGTTGTAATGACCTCGTAACTTCGGACGGAGCTGGCTCTACGATAATCAGTGGTCATTTTGATCAAAGGATCAGGTTTTGGGATACTAGAGCTGAATCCAGCTCAAATGACATTCTATTGGAAGGAAAAGTTACATCTTTAGATTTATCTCGCGGTAAGTAACTCACTTTGATTTAATTTAATCAATCTTTTTTTAAAAATCTTTTTAATTATTGAGATATGTATGTATGTATGTAATCATGATATAAAAAAACCCACTATCGTGAGAAATTCTGTTGTTTTATATTTTATATGAGATGTAGTTGATATTTCAAATTCGGATTAACACAGTATATTATTCCATAAATATATACTTAATACGAATTATAATCCAATGACTATCATCGTTCAATATCATTGTAATAATAATTATATACATACATATGTACGTATAACATCACAACAGGGTTTTGATTCTGTATTATGTATGCCTGTAATAATTTCCACGTATTTTACAATATCAAATAAAGTCTCAATATCAAATAGAATAATTATTGATTATTATCATCACATCAATTATTTATATGAAATGATTCAATAAAATCATCAATATTGCTTAAAGGACGATTTTTGACAACTGTAATCTATTTTTTTTTTTATTTTACGAGAAGTATAAATATGCATTTTCAATAGAATTAAACTGGTAATAATTTAATGTTGCGAGTCTTTATTTATTTGTAATTTTAAAAAGAAAGATAAATTAATATTAAGCATGGCTGTAAAAATTGCAGACTTTTCATGTCTCTGCATTAATACTGAAAACGTAACTGTATTGAGTTAAATTTAGGTACAGAGAGTTTCTTGATTTTATCTAGTTCATAATTACTTCGCAACTACAAACTGTACGTACGATAGCTTAAACATTGAAGCACGACTGTACTTCTTGATTTAATAATGTGTTTTAGGGCAAGGTTGAATACAAACTAGATTTAACTAAAATATCTTAAGTATCTGGAGAGATACGAAACAGTGGACTTTAGTTATTTTAATTAAAGCGTTAAATGGGACAGCGGAAATATTATAAATTTTATATAGCGTACATAACACGCATCTGATCCCATTGGATAATTAATATACGATGAGGAAAGATACTAATTGGTATTTCACAGCAGCTACGCGATTGCATTTCATTTATGGATTTTATCCGCAGCTACGCAAATAACGTTATTTCGTTTTCGCTTTTTATCGCAACGTCCTAATGATGTGAATGAATTGGCTCGCGCAATTCTGCAGTGTTCTCAAAACATTTGTATCAGCTGCAAGTGCATCCTGTTCATACAAGGGTACTTCATTCAGATATATTGTTCTATCGCATTCTATTAATCCCGGGTATTGCCGGGAACGCGGGATGAATTCAAGTGGAGCGAGGGATATTGGTCCGATTTTTAACTTTTGCAGTTAAGCAGGCATATCGCGTCTCTCTAATATTTTTGTATCGTTCATCGTTGTACATTCGCTTAAAGGAGGACTTAAAATAATATTATATGCTCCGGCGTCATTCTTCATCATCGATCGATACGTCCTCTGAAAGGACGTCACGCAAACGGATCGTTTCGATGCACGTTTCGAATCACGGGCCGTATAAGTTTATTGCACTGTAATTAAATCTTTTAACGCTTAGGACTGTTTGCGTCACCTGTACGTTCCTGTAGAATCGCTTTTATTGATGGTTCATGGTATTCGAAGCACGACGAGATATATTTGTTTGGCTCAAGTTGCAGCAAACTACTCGCAAACGTTCACGCAAACAGTTTAAATATTATTCAATCTTACGCACGATTACGAAAATCACAAAGGGATCTATTTGATTTCAGACGCAAATTACCTTTTGAGTTGCGTGAGAGATGACACGGTGAAACTGATTGATCTACGGATGAAGAAGATTGTTGGATCGTTCAGGTATGTCGTGGATTTTTTTTTTTTTCGTATATGTGTGGAATATTAAAGGAATAATAATTCGTCGTATTTTGATTTTATTTTTCAGCGCTGACGGTTTCAAAGTGGGATTCGATTGGACAAGGGCTGCTTTCAGTCCTGACGGACAGTACATAGCGGTTGGTTCCGCGGATGGTTCCGTTTTCATCTGGTCTATAGCGACGAATACAATTGAAACAATACTAAAGGGGCATACGTAAGTAGGGATAATATATTATCATAACTAAAAATTTCAAAATTATGTAAAACTCCTTTCCGCAAAGAAATACGATTAACCATGATGGCATGAAATAGCATGAAAGTATTATGAATTAAAATAAAGTAATAATTAAATAATTAAACGTTGTACTTTAAAGAATATAAACCGATTGTAAAATTTTAAAAGGAAGTCATAAAATAATTTAGTTTAGTCAATTGAATTATAATATGACTTATAATATAACTGCACGTATACCTTAGTAAACATTGGCTTCATCGTTTTTATCGCTCGCATATTATATATCTTCTTGACCGGATATTTAAGTTTCTATGCGAGAAATAAAATCGTGGTTTTTTTTCTTTCATATCGCGATTGGAATGTGCAATACCGATATTAAAACTTGAACCGTTATAAAATAGAGCGTACGAAAAAAGACTGATAAGTTTTATATGACTTTAATCGTCTGTGTTTGCCAATGATGAAAAGACATATTAAAACGAGAAATTTTGTTCCCAATATTTTATCGAATATTGATTTAGGAAAGACTAATCCGCGAGATATTGAAGGCAGTTTGCTGCGCCAATCCTTCATAAAGCTCGTCGTCTTATTTTAATATCGCTTTTTTATTGCAATTCTTTTTACTCTGTAATCTGACTTTTTATTTTATATCGCATTAATATATTAAAATACAAATGTGTTATTGATCCCTCCAGAATTCAAAGATATCAAAATATAAAAAATATTGATGCAATCTCAGTTTCTATTAATTTTTTTATTATCAACACGCCATGGACGATATGATCTGGAGATTACTTTTTAACGTTACGTTCGCGACATTTCTGACCAAACGTGCGACTTTATTTGCGGTTGTGAAATCGATAGCCCGCTGCTGCCCTTCCATTTCGGCATGTGGCCTACCACCGTTATATAATTTATTTCTCTCTGTCCCTTTTTATTTTTTTATCGCAATACGTTTTGACTCGTTTGACGGATGTGAATTTCTTGTTTAAATTCGTTCGTCGAAGCACTAAAGCGTCCGTAATTTTTGGAGGCACCTTCGAGTGCTCTGCATACCTACCTGACACGAAAAGTTCTTGAAGTACTTCGTCCATCACACGCAGCGTATATACCCATACGTGCACATATACATACGTATCCGTTTATACGTACGTACACGTGAAGAAAAAGATTTGCAGCGGAAAGAGACAGAGAGAGAGAGAGAGAGAGAGAGAGAGAGAGAAGAAAT